CCGGGAAGCCGGCTCCATGCTCCCTCATCACGAGGGAGCATGGAGCCGGCTTCCCGGCCAAAAAGGAAGCCGGGCAGCGTGTAATGACCCAGCTTCCTGATACAGAAAGCTCAAGTATCGGGCTAGGTATTGGAGCATTAGGGCAAGTACGAGTACTCGCCCAAATACTCTGCATCGGCACCAATACCAATACTAGTATCGGTGCATCCCTAATATATATTTATAAAAAAAATAATAATCATACATTAAAGCAGGGTGTACAAATCCCAGAAGCTCGGTGTGCTTCTTACAAATGACAGCTGCCTCTTAACTTAACTAGTTTTTCTCTAGTCTAGTCCTGGAGCTGGAAAGGTATCTGTACTTGTACTTGTACCGAGTACGGTACTTGGTATCTGAACATCCCTAGCACTGCCGCCCATGACTTCCTCCATAGATATAATGGAGACATGACGGAACAGGAAGTGTGTTACTGGCAGGATTTCCAGGTGAAAACAAAAGGGAAAAAATCCTGAACAAAAGGAAAACAAATGAAACCGCCACATCTGAGGACCGGTAAGCTGCAATATATTACATGTGTGGTCTTTGGTTTAGATACACTTTTGAGGCAGCCTGTGCTGCGGAAATATAGAGGATGACAATGCTAACCTCTCTGCTCACAAAAACATTGTTCCCTGGGTGTCATGTCAATCCAGTGGATTCGCTGTTTTCTGAGGCACTGACCTGGAAACAGTATGCAGATCAGAAGTTCTAACGCCATATTGACTTTTCTGATCTGTATGTGTGTTCCAGGTCAGCGACTCAGAAACAGCCAGGCAACTAGCATTTTCAGAAGGAGGTACAGGTTTAAAACCATAAAAATGTTATATTTTCTGAAAGAACCTGGACAATAAAATGGTGTAATTTATTAATGTTAATTTATGTTACATGATATTAGCACAACTATTTATCAAACTCAGAAAATCTGTAAAAAATGAATTTTAGCGCACACAAACACAATATTTGTAATAGATAATGAAGAGGTTGCACCCAGTGAATAGATAACAAACATGTCAAGCCTTAAATTTGCATGCCACCATGAAACGGCAAAAAACATTGGTACCCCGAATAGTCTATAGGGGACACTTTCAAACCCTGTACTGTTGCATGTGTTAATATTCATATATGTGTGTACATGGGGCCAGGGGGAAGCGTTAACATTTTAGGGGGTTTACTTTTTTTTTTATTATTCATTTTCTATCATATAGGGGGCCAATAGCCTCCAATAGTTTAAGAGACACCAGGCATATTTTAGACCCCCTAATGTCACCTATGGACCTCAGTGAAGCTGATCAAGCACATATTGTGTCTGGGGAATTACAGCTCAGAAACTGGAAGTGACAAAATCCTTGCTACTTATGGGCTCATTTACCGTAGGGGAGATCAGTGAATGGATGTACGCTGATCTCCCTCTGCTCTTCCCGTTGACACCCGCCATGGCCATCCTGGACCTGTAGGAGAGGTAGTGGAGCCCGGTATGGTCATTATGGACCTCGATGAAACTGATCAAGCACAGATCGTGGCCGGGGAATGACAGCACAGAAACCTCAAGTGACAAAATCCTTGTCGCTCCCAGGTTCCTTCACCGACACCTGCGGCGGGTGTAGAAGTGATCGCCTGCAGGTTGCAGGAGTGTAAGCACACTTCAAGCTGCTATAGCAGCCTGGAGTCAGTTACACTTTCCTGATTTAAAGCTTTAACCGTTTCGCTGCCACTGTGTAAGTACTACCTACGTGGCAGCAAAGGGCTTAAAGCTTTAACTCACCCGGAACTGATATTTTATTTTCTGGAAGATGATGAAGAGTTAAACAAACCCGTCAGGTTTACAAAACTCTAGACTTAATGTCCATGCAAAAGAAAAACATCACCTCCTCTGCAGCCTATGACTCCTACGTTCCACCACTGCAGCCACTGTATGTAATTTTGAAATTTAACACTTTTAGAAGTGTCCTGATTCTCCAGCAGTGAATGCCGTGGTTCCATGCTCCGAACCATAAATCACTACACGACTCAGTACTGCTGTATGGGTCAGAGGATTACAGTGCTAAAAAAAAAAATATGAAACATAATTCTGAATTTGAGTCAGAATTCTGAGTTTGGAAATCAGAATTCTGAGTTTGGAAATCAGAATTCTGACTTTTAATCTCAGAATTCTATTTTTAAAATACTGACTTTCAAACACAGAATTATGTTTCATATTTTTTTTAGCATGGCCCCAGGGCTCTTCTGTAGTAAACACATTTACTTTCTATGTACCATAAACATGCCTTGAACTGGATACAAGGTTGCAGAGAACAGTAGAATGTTTCTAAATAATGAATCTGGAAGAATAAAACAGCCTTGAAAAGCTGGGGGAAGAATTTATAAGGTGATCATCCTGAAAAATATTTTCACATGCAGTGTACAACAGAAAACACAATGACAGGAAGCTGAGACGTCCTTCAAGCTGCAACAGAATGAGCTCAATTCACCAAATACTGTACATTCAGCATTCAATTTCTTTCTGGCAATGTGGAGAACGCTGCATCAGGGCTTAGGGCCCGTTCACACTAGCCCATTCATTAAAACGCTCCATTTTAGCAGACGGTCCAGTGCGTTGCGGCGGCGTTGTATCACACACTGCCAGAGTTTTTTTTAAAAACTTTTTTTAAAAACTTTATTTGGAGTGTATATTCCATTCATATCCCTGCACAGCAGCACCGTGGCATCAGGGGTGCTGTGCTAAAATGCTGCATGTTTGCATTTTTCCTCAGCACTCTGTCCATCACACCTGTGTTGTGGCGTGAACAGGGTCATAGAAAGCAATGTTTTTCTATGCGTCCTAGCAGTGACCTGTGAGAGGAATGTACTGGCATAATTTCTGCAGACATAGATGAATAAATTGATTCCAGTGGTTATAATACAATAATATTGTAGCTACTAGAATTAATTTACATGTGTATGCAAACTCCATACCCTCTAGCTGTGGTGCAACTACAGGTCCCATGATCATTGCAAGACTCTGACAGCGACAGACCTGACTCCTAGAGGCAAATGCATGATGGGATTTGTATTTTCACTACAGCTGGAAGGCCAGAGTTTGCCTACCCATGTTCTAAGCACTGTAAATGCACATACACACGAGTACGCTACCCGCCATTACGTTTTTCATGCTGGATGTTTCTTCCAGCTTCTGGGCTTGTTTCCACCAGCCCACATGTGTACCGCAAGGTCCCGTGCCCGGAACGCAAGGGATCACATATTTAAATTCTCCTTGCATTCAGGGGTGGGAGGGGGGCTTTCAGTGCCATTTAAGTAAATGGCACTGCAGGCATGCCCCCCGCCCGCAGTACCCCTGATGTCTCTGTAAAGAGGACCTGTCACATCATATTTGCTATTACATAGCATTTACTATTGTGATAGCAATAAAGTTCATGTAAAAAAAAAAATGCCCCAAAAATGTTTAAAAGTTCCCCGCCCCCCACGTACACACACATACAAGCGCAAAAACGCATCGGGGGTGCCTATGCACAAAAACGAAAATTGCGCCACACATGTTACATATCGCTGCAAACGTCGGAGTGAGAGCAATAATTTTGGCCCATCAATCACTGTTGATACTAAAATGATGAGCAGTAAAAGCTTTTAAAGCATCGCCTATGGGAAATTTTGTGTATGGTAGTTTTTTGTGGTTTCACGGACACACGCAATTTTAAGGCTTGATATGTTTGGTCTCAATTCACACGACGTGACCCCATCTTTTATATTTTACCAACAAATTGGATATTTGAGGAATTGTATATAGTAAGAGTTATGGCTTAATGCACATAATGAAAGTTATGCTTTGCCTTATCTACTGCTCAGTATGTGTCCTAACAGAACAATGCTTAGAAGTTATTTGTCGCGTATTTGACTTGCTTAATTACAACATACTCTCATTTTTGGAAATTTGCTGTGAGTCCCATGGGAAGGAAATCCTTACATTGTCTTGAAACTAGTGACGAGACCATCATGAGTGCTGTGTATGATCTATATGTATATGTCTGTAAACCTGCCTTAGGGGTGATTAGCTGCAACTTTGCCTATTTTGTTTGTATAAATATATAAGTTGACCGTTTGGAATAAACCTTTGAATATTGATCTATGGCACATTGTTGTCACGGCTCTTTATTCCTGAGTACTCAAAGGGCGGACCCCCCGCACACCGTAGGGATTGCAGGACAGACACAGGAATTAATCCTATCATTATATTCTGTGCACTAAATTTCATTTTAGTGTATGCTATCCTAAAAATACTAGTTTGATAAACATTTGCGCAAATAACGTG